GAATCTAGCTTCCCCCATTGACTTTGCTTCTTGGAAGCCATCTGAGAAGGTTGCAAATGGCAACTCTGGGATACTGTAATCCTTACAAAATACATGCAGATTGGCCAAAATCCAAATGTTGATCATGTGTCCATGGGGATACTGCAAAGTTTGTAAATGCAAGGACCAGTTGTAAGTCACTTTCTTCACTGTTATAACTTTGAATGGTGCTAAACAAATGGTTGTAAGCCAAGGATTACCTGTATAGAAAGCAAATAGACCACATTATTGGTAAAAGGAAGTAGAAAATCTCAGTTATAACAGCCAGGGACTGAATGTGAAATAGATCACAAATTGGTCATATGCAAATTCCAAGTTAAGGTGAAATTGAAGAAGAAACTTTTTACAATAATGCTTGAAGCATATATCCATCATTTTCAAAGAGAACATCAGGAATCACTTTGAAATCCCAAATCGTATTGATAGAGAATCAGAGGAACTTAAGGAAGTCATTAAACATGAGTGTGGAAACAAGACTGCCAAAGATGTCCCAGTACAAAAGCAATATACAAGTCAGAAAGCCACAGTATGTATAGAATCTGATGAAAGAATGCTGGAGCTCTAGTTGGCGAAGAAGTGGGATAAGGCACAAATGACTCGAATTAATTATTTCAGACTCAATAATCAAAGACTTACGTAGCTCTCTTTAATGCATAAAATATGGAAATAAAGTGACCAGAACCAAGGTGGTTGGGCTTAATTACAACAGGAATGAGTGCTTCTGGAGAAAATCTAACTCTGTGGTTCCTTAGAGTCAACGCTGACTTGATGGCGCATAACCAGCCAGAATGCTACTTCATCTACCAGCAGCCTCCATAGCTGTGGGTTCTGTCAGAGAAGTAAAAAATTCAAGATAACTGTGATAACTATCACATTAATATCTTGCCATGCTAATTAGATTTTTTTATTCAGAATTGTCAAATTCTAAGGGAAGTGATTCTAGCTACTTGAAGTTCAATAGTTTAAGTGTGTATGCAACTGGACTTAATTTCGCTGAGGTATTTTGTTTTTATTAAAGGTGCAGTATAAAGTGTATTCTTGTTTCAAAAACTAATTTGTTCATTTCTGGCTATTGTATTTCAGTGTTAAATGTTTTTTTATTGTCTATTTTCTTAAGGTCTCTGGCTCCATTTTACACTTCATTATAACAATTTTGTTCTTCAATGTGAATTAAAAACATGTTATCCTATTTGTGTATGATTAGGATTCCATATGATTTTTTAAAAAATTACATATAAATTAACCCTACTTAGTGTTAAGAAAAAACTGGCTCTTTTGGAGGTAATTGCAAAAGATCTAACACTAAATATACAGGAAAGTAAATATGATTACAATAAAAAATCTACATAACTTCTGTACATGTTGTTTATATATTGATAAATATCTCCAAGACCTGAATTTTGTCCTGTTTGAATAGTTATTTTTATGATTTGTTATTCTGCAAGTCAAGTCAGAATAAGGTGATCCAGTAATCAGACTATACCATTCTTTTCATGCACCTCTGACTGTTTGTGGTCATCTAATGGTTTTCCAGATTTTGTTCAGCCCCACTATATGATGTACTTAATACTAAATATATAAATAGTAACAAGAAGGCAGAAGGGAAAGAAAAAAAAATGAACCAGTGAATTTTTCATTTAAGATGTCAAAGCAAAATAAAGGGGAATTGTTCAGAAAAGGACCATTTTCTCCTACCAAGACATAGTCCATCAGAAATTTGAGTTGGCTCTTGTTTTGAAAAGCATCAAGCTAAAATAGTATTTTAAAAACAGTGTCTACTCCTATGCAGCGTTACAGTATTTTCAAGTTTAAATATATGTTTAACATTCAGGGAATTGTATCTCCTGATGCACAGATTGTTGAGAAATTGATTTTGAAGGAATGAAAAAATGAACAATCTATATTGGCATATTTTACATAGAGAAAAGTTTGAGATTTTATGCCAGTTGGCTAAGGATCCAGATATTATAATTAAACCAGTTGAGTGGAGAAATGCTATGGGAACTAAGAATAGATATGATTATGACAATGCATCATTAAAATATTATGAGAGAAAGGTTCATGTATGTAGAAAGGACAATTTTAACAGTACAGTATAGAGGTAGAGGAATAGAGGAGTTTTTAATAATGGGATACATAGAACAAATCGTTGATTTTAAATGCATGTACAACATATGTATTCCAATATTCTATATTCTGCCCCAAATTTCTCACATGCACATGCTTTATCTAATTATTTCAGTTAATTCAGTTAATTATTTCAAAGTTAACATGATGCAGTTCCATCAATTAAACAATACCATTTTCTTAGTCCCTGGAAGTACACCTTTGCTGTAGCAATGCTTGTTTTTTGATTCAGGTCTCCCCCCCCCAAAAAACAACAACAACAACAACAAAAAGCAGTTCCCATCTTACTGATACTTTGAAGACCACTAAACACATGGCTCTTTAGCCTGCCTTTTACAAGGATGATTGATGCCCCTTACTTCCTATAGAATAGAATAGAATAGAATAGAATAGAATAGAATAGAATAGAATAGAATA